TGGCTATTGGAAACAGTGCTGCAATGAATACTGGGATACACGTGTCTCTTTCAATTCTTGTTTCCTCAGTGTGTATGCGCAGCAGTGGGATTGCTGGGTCATATCGCAGTTCTATTTCCAGTTTCTAAGGGAAATCTCCATAGTGTTATCCATAGTGGTTGTACTAGTTTGCATTCCCACCAACAGTGTAAGAGGGTTCCTTTTTCTCTACACCCTCAGCAGCATTTATTGTTTGTAGACTTTTTGAAAGCAGTCATTCTGACTGGCGTGGAGTGGTACATCATTGTGGTTTTGATTTGCATTTCTCTGATAATGAGTGATGTTGAGCATCTTTTCATTTGTTTGTGAGCCATCTGTATGTCTTTTTTGGAGAAATGTCCATTTAGTTCTTTGGCCCACTTTTTGATTGGGTCATTTATTTTTCTGGAATTGAGCTGCAGGAGTTGCTTGTGTGTGTGTGTGTGTGTGTGTGTGTGTGTGTGTGTGTATAGTTGTTGTTATTTTTTGTTATTTTTGTCATTTATTTTTATTAGTTGAAAGCTAATTACTTTACAATATTGTAGTGGTTTTTGCCATACATTGACATGAATCAGCCATGGATTTACATGTGTTCCCCATCCCGATCCCCCCTCCCACCTCCCTCCCCATCCCATCCCTCTGGGTCATCCCAGTGCACCAGCCCCGAGCACTTGTCTCATGCATCCAACCTGGACTGGCGATCTGTTTCACACTTGATAATATACATGTTTTGATGCTGTTCTCTCAGCATCCCACCCTTGCCTTCTCCCATAGAGTCCAAAAGTCTGTTCTATACATCTGTGTCTCTTTTTCTGTCTTGCATAGGGTTATTGTTACCATCTTTCTAAATTCCATATATATGTGTTAGTATACTGTAATGGTCTTTATCTTTCTGGCTTACTTCGCTCTGTATAATGGGCTCCAGTTTCATCCATCTCATTAGAACTGATTCAAATGAATTCTTTTTAATGGCTGAGTAATATTCCATGGTGTATATGTACCACAGCTTCCTCATCCATTCGTCTGCTGATGGGCATCTAGGTTGCTTCCATGTCCTGGCTATTATAAACAGTGCTGCGATGAACATTGGGGTGCACGTGTCTCTTTCAGATCTGGTTTCCTCGGTGTGTATGCCCAGAAGTGGGATTGCTGGGTCATATGGCAGTTCTATTTCCAGCTTTTTAAGAAATCTCCACACTGTTTTCCATAGTGGCTGTACTAATTTGCATTCCCACCAACAGTGTAAGAGGGTTCCCTTTTCTCCACACCCTCTCCAGCATTTATTGCTTGTAGATGTTTGGATAGCAGCCATTCTGACTGGCATATAATGGTACCTCATTGAGGTTTTGATTTGCATTTCTCTGATAATGAGTGATGTTGAGCATCTTTTCATGTGTTTGTTAGCCATGTGTATGTCTTCTTTGGAGAAATGTCTGTTTAGTTCTTTGGCTTATTTTTTGATTGGGTCATTTATTTATCTGGAATTGAGCTGCAGGAATTGCTTGTATATTTTTGATATGACTCCTTTGTCTGTTTCTTCATTTTTGATTATTTTCTCCATTCTGAAGGCTGTCTTTTCACCTTGCTTATAGTGATGATGTTGAGCATCTTCCTGTATATTTTTGAGACTAATTCTCTGTCCATTGCTTCATTTGCTATTATTCTCTCTCATTCTGAAGGTTCTCTTTTCACCTTGCTTATAGTTTCCTTTGTTGTGCAAAAGCTTTTAAATTTAATTAGGTCCCAGTTGTTTATTTTTGCTTTTATTTCCATTACTCTAGGAGGTGGGTCATAGAGGATCCTGCTATGATTTACATCAGAGAGTGCTTTGTCTATGATTTCCTCAAGGAGTTTTATAGTTTCTGGTCTTATATTTAGATCTTTAATCCATTTTGAGTTTATTTTTGTGTATGGTGTTAGAAAGTGTTCTAGTTTTATTCTTTTACAAGTGGTTGACCACTTTTCACAGCACAACTTGTTGAAGAGATTGTCTTTTCTCCATTGTATATTCTTGCCTGCTTTGTCAAAGATGAGGTGTCCATAGGTGTGTGGATTTACCTCTGGACTTTCTATTTTGTTCCATTGATCTATGTTTCTGTCTTTGTGCCAGTACCACACTGTCTTGATGACTGTTGCTTTGTAGTATAGGCTGAAGTCAGGCAGGTTGATTCCTCCAGTTCCATTCTTCTTTCTCAAGATTGCTTTGGCTATTCAAGGTTTTTTGTATTTCCATACAATTTGTGAAATTATTTGTTCTAGTTCTGTGAAAAATACCATTGGTAGCTTGATAGGGACTGCATTGAATCTATAGACTGCTTTGGGTAGTATACTCATTTTCACTATATTGAGTCTTCCGATCCATGAACATGGTATATTTCTCCATCTGTTTGTGTCCTCTTTGATTTCTTTCATCAGTGTTTTATAGTTTTCTATGTATAGGACTTTTGTTTCTTTAGGTAGATATACTCCTAAGTATTTTATTCTCTTCATTGCAGTGGTAAATGGAGTTGTTTCCTTAATTTCTCTTTCTGTTTTCTCATTGTTAGTGTAAAGGAATGCAAGGGATTTCTGTGTGTTGATTTTATATCATGCAACTTTACTATATTCATTGACTAGCTCTAGTAATTTTCTGGTGGTGTCTTTAGGGTTTTCTATGTAGAGGATCATGTCATCTGCAAACAGTGAGAATTGTATTTCTTCTTTTCCAATCTGGATTCCTTTTTTTTTCTTTTTCTTCTCTGATTGCTGTGGCTAAAACTTCCAAAACTATATGAATAGTAGTGGTGAGAGTGGGCATCCTTGTCTTGTTCCTGACTTCAGGGGAAATGCTTTTAATTTTTCACCATTGAAGATAATGTTTGCTATGGGTTTATCACTGTCTGTTCACTAATGTTTCTTAGTGCAAGAAGTAACTGTTAAACTTGCTGATCACACATTTTCTGCACTCAGCTCATTGGTGATAAGAGTTTAGTTTTTTTTTTTATGGTATTTGATATTTAGTTCAGTTTTTGTAGTTGCTTTGTGGAGAGATGGGTTTTTCTCATTGATTTTGTTTTTCTTGTATTCTATAAACTTTGCTAATCCTCAGTCTCTCAGACCTTAAGTAACCCACATCTGGTGAAAGGTAAAGGGGTGGTTTTCATGTACTGTTCATCTCTGGGTAGCCTTTTCATCTTTAAAAAAAATCCATCATTGCTTTAAACACTTTTTAAGCTGAATTGTATTTACAGTGTTTCCAAATTCTGCCTATGTTAAATAGTTGTACTCTTCCACTGATGAAACCATAGGCATATAAACTGTATCTTTAACATTTTTGACATGCATTTTTCTTATTTTGGTATTATTACTTTGAGAAGTTAAAAAATGGCCATGCAGCGCTTCCCTGGTGGTCTAATGGTTAAGAATCCACCTGACAATGCAGGGATAACTGGTTTGATTCCTGGTCTGGGAAGATTCTACATGCCATAGGGCAGCTAAGTCCATTCACCACAACTCCTGAATCCTGTGTGCCTAAAGCCCATGCTCAGCAACAAGAGAAACCACCATGCTGCTAGTAGAGAAAGCCCATGTGCAGCAATGGAGATCCAACACAGCCAAATATTAAATAAATAAATAAATCTAAAAAAAAAAAAAAGACTATGTAGGTCACAAAATTCTCTAGAATATCTGAAAAATAACCCATTTGATTTTAATGTTCCTAAAGCAGAACTGATTTAATAACCTAACCTCTTGCCCCTCAAAATGTGGTCTGGGAAACAGTAGAAAGGGTGTCATGTGGAAGCTTGTAGGAAATGCAGACTCTCTAGCTCCCCCAGCACTCCTGAATCAGAATCTGGATTTTACCAAGGGACCCTCCTGTAGCACCTGGTGGACTTTTCCAGGTGACGTGATGCTGCAGAACCTGGGGGTCAAAGTCATCATCTCACCTTGGTTGTTGAGCACCTGGTAACTTAACTGGCATAGTGACTGGGTTCTTTCACCTGCAAGAGCCTATTTAATCCTGAGACTTACCCTCTAAAGCAGGCATTCTTACAATATCAGAAGAGTTGTCACCAGATCTGCCAAAGGTGTCACTAAAAGACAGTTTCTGCAGCTATATTTCCTAAGTCTGAGAAGGGAAAATTGAAGCCCAGTCTATAATGCTGGCCTGGCCAAGGGTGAAAGCCTCCAATGACTCCAGTTCCCGGTGTGGGCACACCCTGTGCTTCTGGTGAGCCAGACAACCTGTGGACAACAGAAGAGCCTCACATCCCAGCAGCAGTGGAAACTCAGCCCCCAACCACTGCTCATTCACCGGCCAGTTGTGGGTTGATGTGAAGGGCCTTGGGAGGAAGTAATTTGTGACTGAGGTCAGGAAGAGCAGATGGAGATCCCACATCTCACCTGCAGGCTGGTTTCCTGAAACTTAAATTACAAATGAAGCTCAGAGGGGTAGATAAACACATTTCCCAGGGTAGATAAATACATTTCCTTGGATATACCAAAATTGATTGTGTGTGTATATGTATTTGTGTAGCTACAGGGTTGTTTAAATTAAATCATTAAAAGCAGTAGATATTAGAAATTCTCATCTTCTAATTCTGCAGCATTTAGGATATACTGTTTTAGTGGATTTTGAGAAGGCAAAATCAATGATAAGAAGCACTTGGAATGAAGCCGTAGATGGGATGGATCTAAACGGAGGGAACATTCTAAAATCCATTAATCCTTCCACAAGATTCCCCGCTCTCTCCCCTGCTATTCTTTTAAAAACCAAGGGCTAATTTCAATCCCACTCACTTCTATTTGGTGGTATTTTGGTTTCTTTTTAGGTATTATCCTATTTTCTCCTTCTTTACCACTGACATCAGCTTATTTCATATGATTCTGAAATATATTAAATAAATATGTATTTAAAATATTATTTTATTTGATCATAAATTGTTTGTCTTAAAGGGCCTGATCTGGGTAAAAGGCTAATTTCTCATATCTTGTTCTTACAGGAAGAATTTTAAATCGTTTCTCCAAAGACATTGGGCAAATGGATGACTCACTGCCTTCATCATTTCAAAAGTTCATCCAGGTAATGTATCACTCCTGTCAGAGTTCTCACAGGGAAGAACAGAGAGCCTGTTTCTCAAGGCCTTTTCACAGGGGTTGAGGGTGGGCCTTTTAGCCTGGTGATGTGTCCTTTAATCTTAAATAAATGGCATGTTTGTGAGAGAAAGGTACAGCTGTGATTGGGAGGCTGAGTTAACATGAGTAACTCCTGGGACAGGAGTGGCTACTCTGTCATGTCAGGGTTGGTCTGAAGCAGCAACATGCTGGGTAAGTGGTTCTCCTGCCTTCCAGGTGTCTGGTGTGGATTTCCTTTACTGTAAGCATATTTCATAATAGAAACAAGCACCTCTCATGAAAAGCTAGCCAAGATGAACTAAATTATGCATTATATTACCATAAAGGACAAATATTTACTGCATCTTTTTTTCTGATAAAGGTTGTTACAAAGAAAAGATTGATAATAATAAAGTGAAGTCGCTCAGTCATGGCCAGCTCTTTGCGACCACATGGACTGTAGCCCTACCAGGCTCCTCCACCCATGGGATTTTCCAGGCAAGAATACTGGAGTGGGTTCCCATTTCCTTCTCCAGGAGATCTTCCTGACCCAGGGATTGAACCCGGCTCTCCTGCATTGTAGGCAGACGCTTTACCATCTGAGCCACAGGGAAGTCAAAAGATTGATAATAATAAGGTGACCAATAATACTTGAACAAAAACAATCATTGTTGTTCACTCGCTGAGTTGTGTCTGACTCTTTGTAACCCCATGGACTGCTGCACACCAGGCTTCCTTGTCCTTCACGATCTCCCATAGTTTGCTCAAGCTCATGTCCTTTGAGTTGGTGATGCCTTCCAACCATCTCATCCTCTGTCACCCCCTTCTCCTTCTGTCTTCAATCTTTCCCAACATCAGGATCTTTCCCAATGAGTTGGCTCTTTGCATTAGGTGCCTCAAGTTTTTGAGCTTCAGCTTTAGCATCAGTCCTTCCAATGAATATTCAGAGTTGATTTCCTTTAAGATTGACTAATTTGATCCCCTTGCAGTTCAAGGGACTCTCAAGAGCCTTCTCCAATGCTGCAATTCAAAGGCATCAATTCGTCAGTGCTCAGGCTGCTTTATGGTCCAAATCTCACATCCATACATGACTTCTGGGAAAACCATAGATTTTACTATGTAGATCTTTGTCGGCAAAGTGATGTCTTTGCATTTTAATGTGCTGTCTAGGTTAGTCATAGCTTTTCTTCCAAGGAGCAAACGTCTTCTAATTTCATGGCTGCGGTCACTGTCTGCCGTGATTTTAGAGCCCCCAAAAATAAAAGTCTTGTTACTGCTTCCTCTTTCCCCCCTTCTATTTGCCACAAAGTGTTAGGACTTGATGCCATGGTTGTTTTTTGAATATTGAGTTTCAACACATATTTTCCACTCTCCTCTTTCACACTCATCAAGAGGCTCTTTAGTTTCTTTTCTCTTTATGCCATTAGGGTGGTATCATCTGCATATCTGAGGTTGTTGATATTTCTCCTGCAATCTTGATTCCAGCTTGCATAGAGTCTTACCCTCCCTATTAATATTCAAGGATGTTAACACTAAACTCCATCTCAGCACAATATCAGTCTAATGGAATTTCTCCTCTAGGTGTAGTTATCATATTCTGTACACTAAATAATTATTCTGAATTGTGAAAAATCACCATGTACTCTCAAGTGAAAGATCCATCCAAAAAATTACTTATATTTATTCATGTGGATTCATGATTTCTGATAGAATTCCCAACTGGTATGCTCCCAATGGGAAATAAGCATATCAAAATATCCCCTTATTTCCTGGAGCATCAGGACTTGGGTCACTTCTTCTGTGTCAACATGTTTCTTGTACACACATCATTGTCTTTGTGCCATGGTGAGACAGAAGTACAGAAGCACTGGCCATGGTAATATGGGCCATCAGATGGGCCTGAAATCCAATCAGATGGGGAGAATTGTGTGTGTGGCTAGGATTAGGCTCCTTGAAATTCATGAGAATGTGGAAGAAAGAAATGAGATTGGCTTCAAGGAAGGGATCTCTGTTGCACACAGAAATCTGTTGTTTCCTTCTTCAGAGTATTAACTTTTTGCTTGGATACTATATTTGTCTCCTACAGCTTCTGTTAACAGTTTGAGAAAGCTGGCAATAGAAGATCCATAAATGTATATGCATAAATAAATTTAAACTCATGCATTGTATATATGGTAATATAATATAATAGGTAATATCCACTATGAAAGTGAACGTTTCTCAGTTGTGTCCAATTCTCTGTGACCCCGTGGACTATACAGTTCATGGAATTCTTCAGGCTAGAATAGTGGAGTGGGTAGCCTTTCCCTTCTCCAGAGAATCTTCCCAACCCAAGGACCGAACCCAGGTCTCCCGCATTGCAGGCAGATTCTTTAACAGCTGAACTACAAGGAAAGTCCAATATCCACTATAAGGCTGTTTAGGGTATGACCTGTAAATAGAGATAAAACTCTTATAAAAATTCTATTTGAATTGCTTCAGAATTAAGGAGCATGAAATCTGAAGGACCTAATTTTGGAGCTTTTGAGAGCAACAGTTACAGGTATTTAATGGGAACTCAAGGAAAAAGTATTGGCACAGTTCAAGTGGAGCCCTTCATTTTGATCTTACCTCTTCTTCCTAGGTTATCTGCCATGCTGGGTTGATTATAAAAGGTCCTCACCTGGGGAAAGCCAGGCTATTGAAACTGGTGAATATTATCCAATAAAATAATGTGAGTCTACTAAAAAACTGTAATTTGGATTTCTTATAATTGACATTTCAGATCTTTTTTTACTGACAACTACTGATGGCAAACCTAGTGACTTGACTTAAGATCACACACAGAAGGAAGGACCCCTCCCCATGAGAAAAGGGTATAGCAAGGTGGGATGCATTAGTTAATCCTATGGCTGTAAGAAATTGTTCAACTGAAAATACAATAGAAAGGAGGTTAGACAGGCCTATATTTCTCCATTTATGATTGAATTTTGTTCCTTCAGATTCCATGCTTTTCACTCTGAGTTTTATATTGGTACCACAGCAGATGGGGAGAAACAGGAAAAGCACATGTCTCCATCCAAATAATGCAGTTTGATTCACAAGAGTTCCTGGGCACAGTCACAGTTCTGGACATTTCCTTCTCCTTTCAGGCTCCCCTGCATACAACTGTGTCTCTGAGATTCCCAGAGTACAGGGATTCTTCCTGTCTTTCTTAATGACATGCAGTACCTTCCTGGGAAAACTTAGGACAACCACTTACCCTCCTAACTTACCATTTTCTTACCTATAAATGGAAATGAAAGTTCTTGCTTTTCTCATTCACAAATGGTTGTGAAGATCATCTGAGAAAACTTATATGGAAGAGCTGTGAAATGATAACCCAAGTCTCTGATATAGGCATTACTCTGCTAATGCATCTGCCAAAGACATGCTGGGAACAGTTGCCCTGGGCAACAAAGTGTGGAGGCCCTGGGTTGGTGAACATGGGGTGCTTATTCTAAGAGGACACAGAACACCTGGTGCTAACTTGGACAAGCCATTTGACCTTCCCAGCACAGCTCCCTTTTGGTCAAAATTTCCAGGAATTGTGATTGCTACCCCAGATTATTCTGTTTCTCTAGCCTGTGAAATTCAGTTGTCAATCTCTTCTTCAAAGTTTCAATAAAGGATTCACATGTTCTTCCCTGTGTTTCCCCAGTGCCTTGTGCAGATCACCATGGAATTGTATCCATCTGAGATCATAAACTCTGGAGGCGTTGGCCCAAACTCTGTGAATCTGCATGTCCTCAACTTTCAACCCCCTTTCATAGCAGGCTAGATACTAATATAGATACTACCCATAGATACTAAGTGCTGATTGCATTCCTATCACCTGAAACTTTTCACCAGGGTATCATACTTTTTCTGATAAATATGGATATCTATATCAGCATCAATCAATGATTTGGGCTTCTATTCTACCTACTGTGTTTTTAGACCAAGATCATTTCCCAAGATAAAATCACCTCATGGAATGATGTGATATTTAAGTGAATGATTATGGAACTCTTACCACAGTGCTGTGCATAGAGTAAACACCTGGTAAATGGCACCCCCTGTTGTTATAATCACTACTCCTTAAAATAGTCATTTTTATCATAATGATAAAAAATTTAACATATATCCAGAGGATAAAATTAAAAAAAAAAAAAACCTCTCCGTGCTTTATAAGTTGTTTGTTTATTATCAAACTTCTTCCCCAGATTTCTAGGAAATGCCAAAAATTGGTTTTATCACATTTCTCTTCTTTTGTCTGTTTTTTTATTGGGCATGCTGATGAACTCTGAAATTCCTTAAATAAGGTATTTAGAAGAAAAATTTAAGATAAATTAGGAGGCTCAAATAAGTAAAAATAATTTTCCTGGACAATAAATAGTTGGTGGTATGTTGGGAAAAAGCTTAAGTATGTCCTAATGGCTCATGATGTAGACTCTCTGGCTCCATGGCTCAGGCTTTGCAGTTTCCATCAATCTCCTTTTCCTTTCCCTGTGCCTCAGTGTTTCCATCTGTAAAATGAGATACTACTATTACTTGATTGGGCTATTGTGAGGAGTAACAAACTAATACATGTCAAGTATTAAATGTGTAGCCCTGTACAGAGTCAACACTCAGTAAATGTTAACTATGGACAGAAAACCAGGAAAGAAAAATTTCCACTTCCAAAGGTCACATTTGCATCTTTTCCTTCTTTACTGGACACTAACTTTGTAATTAACCACTTCTTTGTCCTTACCTGTGTAACTGAGTCTTCTGGTTTCCTCATCTGTGATGCCTGCTCATTCATCTCTAGTAATACCTACTGACTCATGATAGTTTAGGGTTCAAGTCCTAGCCTTTCTAAACCTCAAATATTCTCTCATCTATTAAAATAAGTAATTCCTACCTTATAGGCTACTAAGTGTATTAAAAGAGCTAATACCTAGAAGGTTCTTGAGGTTTTTGGCACACAGTAATCACGTAATAGAGCTTCCCAGGTGGCTAGTGGTAAAGAATTCACCTGGCAATGTAGGAGATGCAGAAGGCATGGATTTGATTCTTGGGTTGGGAAGATCCTCTAGAGGAGGAAATGGAAACCCACTCCAGTATTCTTGCCTGGAAAATTCCGTGGACAGAGGTGCCTGGAGGGCTGCGGTCCATGCAATTGCAAAGAGTCAGACACGACTAAGCGACTGAGCACACACACATAATCTTGCAATAAATATCATTAGAACCACCTATTATTTTATTTGTTTGGGTGGCAAAACTTTCTCTACTATTTCAATACATCTTTTAGGAAAAGAAGTTTAATCCTAACAAAATAGTCTATTAAAGTTTATTTTTGAAAAGAATCCTTGATAAGGAGGCCCCTTTATCTATTTTTCACTCTTCCAGACATTTCTACAAGTGATTGGTATGGTGGGTGTGGTAGTGGTGGTGATTCCTTGGATTGCTATACCTGTGATTCCCCTTGGCATCATTTTCTTTTTTCTTCGGCGGTATTTCTTAGAGACATCACGAGATGTGAAACGCCTGGAATCTTCAAGTGAGTACTGGGACTCTCAGGCTGGGATGGCAATGGAGGTTGGCTGCATTTATACCATAATTAACCACATCCCTGAAATCCTGCAGAATATATCTTTTGGAATTTCTCCCTAAGTCAGCATTAGGTAATTGTATATTAAGGGCCCTGTGAGTCAGTGTGACCCTTAAGCCAAGTTGAGCTAGTGGCAGATCAGCTGCAGCTTTGCATTTTAGCACAAGGACAAATGTGGACAGGGGCCATTTCTGTCTTGTTCATGACATACTTCCTAACACAGAAGAGCCACCCAGTAAACAGTTTTCCAGAAAATAATATGTTCCTTCATGTTGGTACTATTGTAGAAGGAAAATAGGGAATTTCTATTCCCTTGAAGTTACTAGAAATGACAAGGAAAGGAAAATATTAAGAAAAGGAAAGGAAGCATCAGGAAATGTACTCATATGTCAGAGGTGATATTTTTAGAAAATACATTCTTTCACATACTCCTAAGATGGTAAGTAAGTTGTAGTTGTTAAATGTATTGAAAAGATAAGCCCTGTTATTTCCAGGTTTGCTCTTTATCATCACCAGTATTTGAGATTATGTCACACTGTGGTCACCCCTCCCCAAGACTGTTCATATAAATGATGCTGGAAATAATACCCTCAGGAGGACCCAGGAGGAGGATATGTTTAGTAGACTTTTAGCTTATCACCCCATTCAGCTTCCTGGTTTTAGAATAATGGGGTGTTGAGGTCCTTTAATGGACCGGAACCTGGTGGTCCAGAGTCAATGATAAGAAAGTGAAAGAAGGAAAGAGGCTAGCATTCCCTGGGTTATGCAGCCGGCCTTTGCACTCCAGGGAATCAGCCAAAAATAGAGAGAGAGAGAGAAAGAGAGAGAGAGAGAGAGAGAGAGAGAGAGAGAGAGAGAGAGAGAGAGAGAGACATGGGGACCCAAGCTCTGATGAAAAAAGGGTGCTTTATTGAATTTTGTAAGAGTATATATACTGTAATACAAGGTAGTTTCTTCAAATAAAGTTCAAGAGACCAGACTTTACAAGTTACCAAGGAAGCAGGAAGCAATAGAGGCTATAAGGCCAAAAGGCGATCCATATCAAAAGAGGGTTGTAAATAATCTCTTTCACCAAATGGAAAAGCTAATGAAGGAAATCCTATGCAAGCATCCCATCTCTTTGATCTGTCCTGGGAGAGGCTTGCCTGCTCTTTTCACCCAAGATGGACTGATAAGGAACAGAGGGCTTAAGAGAGATAGGAAACAGCACACAGGAATCCTACTGTTAAACACTCCCTGACAATGGGGAACATTATTTTATGATTAATCATTCTATTCTTCAGGTAATCACAGAGGATGAAATAATTCAGAACTTATCATCAATGCACAGACATATTTCATCAATATTAAAACAAAAAATTATAATGAAAGAATTATTAAATATTTTTAAAGAAGGTATAAGGACAGAAAATAAAGGAAGATGTTTGTGTCAGAAACCTTAACTATGGATAGTTAATGCAAGTTAATACCAACTTAACTTTCTAGAAACCAAGCCAAGAAGAGAAACATATTGAGTCTCTTTATTCTCTGTATCTACTAAGTGGAAAAATCTAAGTTAATCAAGACAAAGGAGTTTTTGGTGGTGAAACATGTGTTTCATTTTTAATGATAAACTCTCGAGAGGCATTCATCCTATGTATTTGCATAAGGTACAGTTGGTGTCATAAATGCTGTAGAAAAAAATTTTCAGTCAAGAGAACCAGCTAAACTCCCATGAGGTCTGGGTTTTGTGAGGTGTTTGATTGGATTATGGAGCAGTAGAGTTCAGACATGTGTGATATTTTGCTGATGTGATTTGGTAGGTTGGTAGGACCTGGGAAAACAGAATAGGAGTGATGAGCTCCATACAGTTTTTTGTGTAGACAAGGCTTCAATCATTTTATGATTTGAAGTCAGTCATGAAATTGAGTCATTCAACAGTCTTGTTCAAAGCAGGTTGTTCCATTCAAAGAAGGATTGTTCCAGAAGGAATGTTTTTCAGAGATTTATGCCTGGAGCATGGGCCACTTCCCATTCACATGGAAGTGGAGAGAAGGGCACCTCCTGAGGCCTTTTTCAAAAGGCAGTACAGGATTTCACCTGGAGAGGCTGAGAACTTTTTGGCCCCATCCCTGTGGAGTATTTGGATTTTTTGAAACCTAGTAGGCTGCAACAATGTTAGACAGTAAATTCAATCATCCAGATACCCCTCTTCCACACCCCAGGTAACCAAGTGAGATGGCCTATTGATTAGAACTGTTTATGTTCTCTCTCCAGGTTGTGGGTCTGTGCCATAAATAATGATACCACATTTTTCTCTATAGAGTAACTAATAGTATATCTTAAGACCACTGCTGGAGCCACCAGCAAAAAGACATCTGATTGCTATAACCAGAAGGCATAAACCTACTTCATTCCTGTGCCCTGAAAAACTGCTAAAATCCTGAGGTTTATATTCAGATCCAACTGCCTACCTTTCTGGAGCATTATGTTGGCTTTTGTCCTCTTAGTGACAAATGTGCAGCTGATCATAATAATTTTTCACTATTATACAACTGAGCATAACCTAAATGCAAAACCAGGATGGCATTTGGTTGCATTTCTCTAGCCAAACCTATTCATTTGGCAGTGCCGGAATTATGAATCTGTATCAAATCCTATCTGTAAGGATTCTGTGATCGACTAGCAGTGTCTGCCAGGGACATAGCTGAGGGAGGGTTAGCACATGTGCCACATATATTCAGATCATGGATCCTCAAGTCTGCTGTTTTAAGGCATTCTCATGCTGGATTCCCTGGGACTTTATTCAACCTAAGGTGCTAAGTATGATGTATGGTAATGGCTAAGGCTGTTGGATGTTAGTGAAGTAAGATTTGAGGGTTTTCTGAAGGTAAACAAAGTCTGGAGAAAAGTGAGTTTAGTCATGCACGGACATTCTTAAACCTGATTATTCTTCCCCTGAGACACTGCTGTTGTGATTAAAAGCACAGCCTTGGAAATAAGACAGAATTGGGTCTGACACTCAGCTCTACCACTTAGGTGAGTTAATTTACTTAATCTTGGGCAGGAAGTATTCTTTATTCCTCAGTTTGGTTTTCCCTCTGACACAGGTATACTAATACTGCCCTCTGGGGCTCTCAGGATTTCTTGAATTGAAGCTTGTAAAATACTTGCTGTGCTGTGCTTAGTTGCTCAGTCATATATATTGACTCTTTGTGACCCTGTGAACTGTAGCCACCAGGCTCCTCTGTCCATGGGGATTCCAGGCAAGAATACTGGAGTGGGTTGCCATGCCCTCCTCCAGGGGATTTTCCCAACCCAGGGGCTGAACCAAGGTTTCCTGCCTTGCAGGTGGATTCTTTACCATCTGAGCCACCAGGGAAGCCCATGAATATTGGAGTGAGTAGCCTATCCCTTCTGGAGGGGATCTTCACAACCCAAGAATTAAACCACAGTCTCTTTCATTGCAGGCAGATTCTTTATCAGCTGAGCTACCAGGGAAGCCCCAAAGTAGTTGCTGGTGACTACCAAAGGCACCAGAACTTTGAACATAAGGGTATTTAAAATTTTTTATTTATTTGTTTTTGGCTGTGCTAAGTCTTCATTGCTATGCCGGCTTTTCTCTAGTTGTGGTATGTGGGCTTCTCACTGTGATGGCTTCTGTTTTTGAGGGGCCACAGGCTCTATGGGGCTTGGGCTTCCAGCTTGTGAGCTCAGTAATTGTGGCTCTCAGGCTCCAGAGCACAGTCTCAATAATAATTGTGCATGGGTTTAGTTGCTCTTTGGCATATGGAATCTTCCAAGATCAGGGATTGAGCCCTTGTCTCTTGCACTGGCAGCAGATTCTCATCCACAGAGCCACCAGGGAAGTCCAAATGTGAAGGAATTAAGAACATAGTAACAACTGGCAGTTCTCACATAGGTGAATGATAAGCTGCAGCAAGGCTGTCACCCTGGGGTCTTTTCATGTGGTTCCCTGCACCACCCCCCACCCCAGGGGAGATCTGCAGTCCAGGTGGAATGTGTCCCCAAGTGTCCTCAGGGTTGTGGAAACACAGCCATATGTCTTGTAAACTGTAGGGTTACATGTGTCTATGACTTCTGACTGATATCATGGCTGTTATATAGTGTGCTTCAGGATCGTGAGCTCTGTCTTTGTGGGGAAAGGGGTGTTATGTTGGGCAAGGTAAGACCAGAGCCTTGACATCCCCTCTCCTTATGTACTAGTTAATTTTCTTTGCAGACCCTCCAGTTCCCTCATTCTGGCATCCTGCTCACCCCTAGTGGGGTTTGAAAGAAATGATATATTTCCACAGGTCAGCATTCCCTCTGGCCCACTGTAACTCTTGGGCATGAGGTGAAGTAGATGATGGAGTGTTTGATTCCCTGGTGTTCAAGGCTGAGATGACACCTGGTTTCTAAAGTTGACTTCATCCTCCATCCCTGCTGGAGAGAATCAGCTGCACTTTGATCTCCTGGTGAGGGAAGCAGGTGAGGGAGGCCATGCTGAAGAGTTCATTCCAGGAGTCTCCCTGGGGGAACAGGCACATCTACTTCCTACTCAGAAGCCTTGTCTGTGATGAATAGTGTTGACATCACATTTGCTCTGGAAATCACAGCCTGGTTCTAGTTAGTTTTCTTTGTTCTCTGGAGCTGGACTCTTGACATCCTCCAGACAGTGTGATGGGCCTGGAATTCACCTGTGTCATTGCTGTGAGCCCCCTGCTTCCAGAATAGTTGAGTTCTGGGGTCTGGTTGGGACACCTGCTGGGAATGCAGAAAAGGCCTGAAGAGAGTTCCTAGCCTTTGTTATTTGGAGCATGAACTCAGTCTTAAAAGTGCTGTTAAAAGTTCACATTGCTATTTTAAAAGTGTAAAGTTAAAGCTAAAATAAATACTATTAAATGTTACTCAATTGAATAAGGGCTTCCCAGGTGGTGCTAGTGGTAAAGAACTCACCTACCAATGCAGGAGACTAAAGAGATGCTGAGTTGATCCTTGGGTTGGGAAGATCCCCAGGAGGAGGGCATGGCAATCCATTCCAATATTCTTGCCTGGAGAATCCCATGGACAGAGAAGCCTGGTGAACTATGCTCTATAGGATTGCAGAGTCAGACATGATTGAAGCAACTTAGCATGCAATAGAATGAAGAGAGAACAGTGTGGATGCTAAAGTAAGACCACAGACATGTCCTTGGAAGGTCAAAACACCATTGAACCACTTTAGGCTCTTTGCCTGAATTAGATACAAAGGGAAATGTTATATCATGTCCTGTTTCAAAGAAGGTTTTTTTCCTTACAGCAATATTACAGCTGAGGGTTCTTAACAATTAGGGTTCCTGATCAGATGTCCCAAGTAGAAAGAACCGCAGGGCTGAGTGGATGGTCAGCTAGGACCCAGCCCAGGCTGTCTTCCCCCAGCCCAGGGCTTCCCACCCTCCCTGAGCTCCAGTGTCTCAGAGGAGGAAGCCTGCTCCTTTCTTTCTTATAAGATAGATCCAGGGATATGAAGCACAAGAGGAGTTCTGTGTTTTTGCCCATTTATACCCTGCCTCCCTACAGCCCCTCCACCCCTGTGGAGCCTGTCGATAATGACTGAACTGTCACCCAGACAGGCATTTGGATGCCAGGCTAAGAAGCAAAAACCTGAAAATAATTTGGAGTTTCTTCCCTTTGATTCTTTCCCCATCATTTTATATAATTTCTGAGGCTTCCTGCAAGATAAGTGACCTTGCTACTGCTAAGTCACTTCAGTCGTGTCTGACTCTGTGCGACCCCATAGACAGCAGCCCACCAGGCTCCCCCGTCCCTGGGATTCTCCAGGCAAGAACACTGGAATGGGTTGCCATTTCCTTCTCCAATGCATGAAAGTGAAAGTGAAGTTGCTCAGTCATGTCTGACTCTTCATGACCGCATGGACTGCAGCCTACCAGGTTCCTCCGTCCATGGGATTTTCCAGGCAAGAGTACTGGAGTGGGGTGCCATTGCCTTCTCTGATAAGTGACCTTAACTTCCCCTAAATGCCCAGATTTTACTAACAGGTCTTTTCTAGGAGATGTACAAGTAACAGAGTGATGTCAGTATTTCCTGCTGATATAGCACAAGTTATCACTCACCCCAGACAGAGGCCACAGGCTCACTATCTGCCTCTGACAGCAGCAGGTTACAGCCTCATTCATGGTGGAAATGAGAACTGTAAGGGTCCTCCCTGCCTGGCAGCCTGCAGCCCACCTATTCCCTGATGGGCAGGTGCCTAACCCTGGTGCTTGTGGTCAATGTCCTCTTAGAGAAGATGGCAGGAAATGAATGGTCAGTGAAGGGACACCAGACTCCAAACCCACATGAAGTCACTCAAAGAGAATGATCACTAAGGGCACAGTTATGTTTTAGAAGGTGATGTGAGTGTCTCATGCCACAGTGACCTCCAAATGCCAGAAAAAGCATTGAGCAGGTAGTTTAAAAACCTGGATTAGATTCCCAGACCAGAAGTCAAGACCATTCAGAGAAACCTGGCTCAGCAAGTCCTGTGGGCACAGGGGCGGTGCAGTACCAGGTGTTCTGTGACCCACGCAGAGACTCCTAGAGCAGGTGCAGGGAGAATCCCAGGATGGAGGAGACGGCAGACTGTCTGCTCCTCTTACTCATCTTGCCCCTGTCCTATGTCTGGCTCTGGTTCAGCATAGGGGATGTACTGACTCTATCCTGGCCCTTAGGTTACTCATCTAAGTTGGAGACAGCACACAGCTCACCAAAATTCAGTGTGGTAAGAACTCTCAAAGAGAATTAAATTAAAAAATGCTATTGAATTGGGACTACCCTGCTCGTCCAGTGGTTAAGAATCTGCCTTCCAATGCAGGGGACTTAGGCTTGACCCCTGATTGGTGAACTAGGATCCTACATGTCACAGGGCAACTAATCCTGTGTGCCACAACTAGAGAGCCCATGTGCTGCAACTACTGAGCCCATGAGCTCTAGAGCCTGTGATCTAAAATAATGGAAGCCCATGCACTGCAACTAAAGAAAGCTTGCATGCTGCAATGAAGAACCTGTGTGCCACAATGAAGACCCATTGCAGTCAAAGAAAATGCTATTGAATCAAAAGTTTGTGAACAGTTTCCATCCAGAGATGTCAAGGAAGAATTTGGAGAGAGGCCATGTTTGAGGATTGTGATGAACCAGCTAGTAAAGAGTTTCAGTATCTAAATCTAGGTCAGATTTGAATTTGGTTAAAGATAGATTCAGGCTTCCCTGGTGGCTCAGCAGTAAAGAATCAGCCTGCAATGCAGGAGCCACAGGAGACACGGGTTCAATTCCTGGGTTGGGAAGACCCCCTGGAAAAGGGTATGTCAACCCACTCCAGTATTCTTGCCTGGAGAATCCCATGTACAGAGGAGCCTGGTGGGCGAGTCCATAGGGTCGTGAAGAGTCAGACACAATTGAAAAGACTTAACGTGCACGCACAAAGATAGATTAAAAGAGAATCTTTCATTTCTAGGTCGTTAAGGTGAAGCTTGATATGAGCAGGAGTTTGAGCAGCACATGGAGAATTCTCTCCAGAAAGGGCGTCATCCCTTCTCCCCCAGGCAGCCCAACCAGGAATTCCAGTGTGCTGTTTGGCAGAACGTGCAAACACAGCACACGGGAGGCAAGGGGTTTCTTTGCATCCAGCCTCCCTGACTTTCTCTGTCGTGTGTCTGTCTCTGCTTCCCCAGCACAGAGCCCAGTGTTTTCCCACTTAGTATCTTCTCTCCAAGGACTCTGGACCATCCGGGCGTACAAAGCTGAGCAGAGGTTTCAGGAACTGTTCGACTCACACCAAGACTTGCACTCAGGTCTGTGTTTCTGGAGATGATTTTAAAGGATGGGATGTGCTGTCATCTGAGGCCTGACCTCCCTCTCAGGTTTTCTTGCTGGCCCGCACCTCTCTCTGTGCTGCCCCATATCCCCACTCTGCACACCTGCCTCCCCCACCCCGTCCTCTCAGCACCCCGTCTGTGCTCCCCTCTTCCCTCTTCTCCCCAGACCGACTTCCATTGTCCTTCCATCACAGTGTCCTGTGGCTTTCTGTCCCTTTAGGACAGGAGTCAGTATACTTTTTTTTTCAAACAACAGATAGTAAATATTTTAGACTTTGTGTGCCATTCTATCTCTGTTGTAACTTATCAACTTTGCTGTTGTAGCACAAAAACAGGCAAAGATAATACATCAACAAAAGCACATGACTGTGTTCCAATAAAACTTTATTTACAAAAGCAGGTGATGGCCATTCTTGGCCCATAGGCTATAGTTTGTCAGCTCTCTTTTCAGAGCATGCAGGGCAGCAGATTTGATTGAGGTAAATCATAATCTAATTAACAGATTATTAACTTACTTGTTTAATATTATTCCGAATATTGGTAATATTTTTTCCCTACATAGAAATTTCAGAATTCCCTCTAAATCTGTAAAATCCTTGCCCATCTCTCCAGTGTTTATTGTATCTTAAAGATAAAATGGCATTTTGAAAGTCACATGCACATCCAGTTAGCTCATGGTTGTATAGACACTGGCTCTTAAGAATAAACACTGTGCAGGGCCCTGTGGTAAGTGTGGAGGTGCTGGAAACAGTGTGAGCTGTGCTCTCCGCTGTAAGAAAGCTGGGAACAGTTGACCCTGAGAGAGGATGAGCCTCACGTCGAGGCATAGCACTGTAGGAAATGCACCAATGAGACCATTTTTCCATTTTCTCCATTGTTATCATATTACTGTTTACAACCTGTGAGTTGAATTTTTTTCTTATTGAAGTACAGTTGATAAACAGTAGTACATTAGTTTCAGATGTACAGCAAAATAATTCAGTTTTATATGTGTATTTTTTTCAGATAATTTTCCATCATAAATTATTACAAGCTATTGAATATAGTTTCACAGAGCCCCTGGCTTGATTCTTTTCTGTCCCGTGTTATCTGGTATCAAAACAGCTTTTTGGAACCTTCATGTTCCTTGGGTGTATGACTTTGCCATCCTACTTTGGGTAAAAATCTTCTGTATCTCAACTGAGCAAAATGGTCTTTCTTGTTCAAAGCAGTTAACATGGTTTTTCTAACTTATTCATTATGCTTATTATGGTTCACAAATCCAGAGGCCTGGTTCTTGCTTTTGAGTATAACCCGATGGTTCACTTTGCGTCTGGATATCATCTATTTCATCTTCGTCTCTCTTGTTGACTTTGGGTCTCTGCTTCTTGCACAAAGTAAGTATGGGTGCAAATAACTATTTATGGTGTGATTAAAATTTATAGCTGTATTTACAGTTATTATATTAAACTCTTGCAGCCTTGTCTAACAAGTACAGTTTGGTTCTAATGAACTATATTAAAGCATTTGCAGCATGTGATTCCACAGTATGGCCCATGTAGAGAAGTCATTTGGGTCTTGATGGGACCTTTGATTCTTTTCTCTTTCTTTGAATGAGTTGATGTCTACTCAGCAATAGCAAGCTGACCTTAGAAATTTTTCTGATAGTGTTTAGTAGTTGGATGGAGAGAACCAAATTTGCCATAAAGTTTTTTGTCCAAGTTAGGACTTTAGATTTTGGCTCTAGGGCTACTGGAGTCTCTTGGTTGTAGGTGCTTGGTGCACTGGGATGAGAAAGATTCTCTGTAGCAAAGGACACCATCCTCACTGCTGTGTGGGTACCAGATGAGCAGGTGTTGGTGTTTATGACATGAATTTACCAGCCCTAAATATTCTATAAGAGCAATATTGAATCACAGTCTTTAATATGGAACAATGAGAATTGTATTTTAGTTTTAAAACCACTAGCTTTTAGAAACCATTGCCTTGTTTTTCATGGTTTCCAACTATGGCTGCATTGGACATAGAAAGTGAAATTGCTTGATTGTTCTTGAAACCACAATGACAAAAGTCTTAATAATAACATTATTCCTAATTGTCTACTGTATATTGACAGTGTTGAGATTAAGTTCATTTAATAGTCTTTCTGAATTCATAGTGGTTTTAATTTTTTGGGAGGGAGGTTTTAATTGTATTGTGGACTCAATCAAATGATAGTAAAAGTATAAGTAATATTGTCATTATATATAAATGATTTAAATATTATAAAGGAGTTATCTTAATAAAGTGATAGAAGGAACTGGCCTCAAGGTCAAAAACAGGACTGACTTTTACCCCCCTCTTCTTCCTCATTTAGCTTTGAATGTCGGGCAGGTTGGCCTGATACTGTCCTATGCTCTCAACATCTTGGTGTTCCCATGGTGCATCAGGCTAAGTGTTGAAGTTGAGAATATGGTGATGTTTATCTTAACATTCTTAACCTTGTACTACTTCTTGCCATTAAAAAGTATAAAAGGAATTCTTATGTAAAATATTAAAACTTGTTTTTACATCTAGCTCACAGAGTTTTTTATATCCTCCTCCATCTGTTTAAAGCTAATCTTAAAAAGTACATCTTTTTCTCAGTCTTATGTGTGCCATGTCAGCAGGTTTTTATTCATCACAAAATGTCTTCACATGTAATAAATGTCTCTGTAGGAGGGAGGTTTTGAAATCTTGGAGAGAATATAAAACCGGTTTGGGGTCAGGTTGTTTATTATTGTTTCTTAACTGGTAATTCCTCATTCTTGGTAAAAAAAAGAATTCAATATTTTGTAGTTCTTTGTTTAATTGATAGATATCTGTCCCCGCCTCATTTTAGCATTTATTCTTGTTTGTGTTAAAACCCTGAATTTGCTGGTATCCATCCTTTTTGGTAGAATAAGCCACTTCTCTGAATATGCTATCAAAGATGTCAAGTTATTTTTGTTTAGGAGGCCTTGGTCAGTATTTAAATTATATTTTCCTTTGAGTATTGCATATTGGCCCAAAAGAGAGAAAAACAATAAAAATGCAATATTTGCATTTCTCTCTTCTAATAGAGTAGAAAGTGAGAAATTATTAAAATGAGGTTTGATGACCATCCAGTTCTACTCCTCTATAATACGTGGCCCTTTTATAACCACTGATTAATGTTCATAAGTATTCTTTTCTTTGACCAAATTCTTTTTATTCAGATGTGGAAAGTAAATAAATAAAATCTTTGCATTCATTGATCTAATTCTTTTAGTTTTAATATAATGCTGAAGGAAGCAGCCCTAAGTGAAACTGTTACAGGATGATGAATAAGTTTACAAGTCATCAAAGGAGTCATCACACTCCTACTTCAGTCCTTTGCAGATGCTAAGACCTGGAATATTTTTAACCATAAAAAGCAGATATAAAGATATAAAAACAGAATGCCTTATTTACAGTCTCTGAACATCCATAAATAAAACCCTCTGTTCCTAAACCACATGATGTCATATATGTTTCAGATGATTTCAGTAGAAAGGGTGATAGAATATACAGAGCTTGAGCAAGAAGCACCCTGGGAACTCAAGTTTCGTCCACCACCAGACTGGCCCAACAATGGAATGATTGCCTTGAGCAATGTGAACTTCAAGTACAGCTCAGATGGGCCTCTGGTATTGAAGGACCTGACAACAGACATTAAACCAGGAGAAAAGGTTTGTTTAAGCCATTTGCCTCTTTAACATTCAGCTGAAGATTTAGTGCCACATCTGCTGTTGACTTTCTTGTGTGTGTTGGGGGGACTCTTTGTTCTTCATGGATGCAGATTAGATCAGTGACATCACAGGTGAATCTCTCTTGATAACTGACCAGGTGATGGGGATCCCAGTATTCCTTTCCCTGTGTTGTGAACTCCCTCATGGTGGTTGGTGGGTCCTGGGCTCCTGAACTGTAACTTAGCCTGACCCAGGACACTATATTGACACCTGATTATTCATGTGGATTCTGAGAAGTCAGCTTTGACTCACTGTCTCTAACTCTCCAATATCTCCTTTTCTTCCCCATCCATTCTTCTTTGTATTTCTGAAATATTCTCTTCTTCCTGTGATGCCCTTCAGCTATAGCCTCCTCCTCTGTCCTTTGACCCTTCCCGTAGACTTGTCCTCCACTAACCCACACTCGACTGTCATCCTCCTGCCCTGCCCCCACAGACTGCTTCTTTCTGAAGCACAGATCTAATCCTTACTGGACTGGGCGGGCTGCCGCTGGAACCACAGGGCAGTCCTAGATCCATTCTAGCAGGGACTGTGTGGCCAGCTCAGAGCCACCAGAGAAGAGCCCAAAATTATGATTCAGTCAGGAGTGAAAAACCAGAGCCCTCCATGGAGGCAGAGTTTGGAGATTCAAAGTTGATGAAAGGAAACTGACAGGAGCAGGGAAGATTCCAGGTGGAAGATGGCAGAAAGGTTTGTGACCTGGTCCTGTCAGCACCCATGTCTGCAAGTGATGTTCCTTTCCCATGCAGCTTGAGGCTCTCAGCTTGGACCAGGGCAGAGTCTTGAAGAAGAGACTAAACCAGAACAGACAAGGCAGTAGGCATCTCTTCCCCACTTACCTCTCCATCCTCAAGTCCTCATGTTCACACACTCCCCAAGACTCAGGTTGTGTGTAGATTCTCCTAAAGCACTGCATCCTCCCCGCTTCCAGTGTGCACACACTGCCCTCTCTACTTCAGAGACCCTTCCCCTTGGTCATCTTGAGGTTAAAGCCTCCTCATTTTCTGAGTTAATTCTAATGTGTCTGCTTCCCAATTCCTTCTAATTTTGTATACCCTTAAGATAGCATTTATCGTACACCTGTGCTTATAGCAGCATTAGTCATTGTACCCAAAAGCAGGAAGCAACCCAAGTATTCATCAAGAGGTGAATGGATAAATAAAATGTTATTCACTCACTGTCTCAGCCAGCAGTCCCTCAGCACCCTCTATGTGCCCTGCAGAATGCTATTTTCTGGAGAACAGAGCTAAAAAGAAGATGTTCCCTGATCCTTACAATATAATATTATTCAGCCTTAAAGAGGAAGGAATTTCTGACCCATGGATAAACCTTGAGTACATCATACAAAATGAAATATGCCAGACACACAAGAAACAAATACTATATAATTCCACTTGTATGGGGTTCCTAGAGTAGTCAAATTACCTAAGCAGAAAGTAGAATGATGGTCACCAAGGACAGAGGGATGGAAAGTAGGGAGTTATTGTTTAATGAGTATAGAATTTAAGTTCTACAAGACAAAGAATAAATGGCAAGAAATATTCTGGAGGTTTGTTGCACAACAATATGAAAACTTAAGACTAAACTGTCAATTTAAATATAGTTAAATTGGCAAAGTGTATGTTATATGTATTTTACCACAATTAAAATAAAAGAGAGCATCTTGACATGTTTTGTAATTCTGAGTCTGTGTCTCAGAGTACCCTAAGGCTTCTAAAGATCAGGGAACTGAAAGGTTGTTGCTGAACGATAAGACGCCGGGATTCTTGGCCTCTGGAGACGAATTCAATTCGGGGCCAGAGACTAGGCTGGATCGCTCAGAGCTTTTGTGTAATAAAGTTTTATTAAAGTATAAAGGAGATAGAGAAAGCTTCTGACATAGGCATCAGAAGGGGGCAAAAGAGTACCCCCCCTCCTAGTCTTTAGCTGTATGTTATATAGTCACTCACAGTCTGTTAATGAAAAGAAAGGAATGTCATAAAATTTAGAATAGCACCAGATAATTCATCCCTGGCCATAAAACGATTGACTTGAATCTTGTAGAAAGGCAGAATACCAACAAATATTTTCGTTTACATAGATTAGGGGACCAATACCTGAGTAAGTAAGTTAGGCCGTTTGGCGGAACCAACTTGAAGATAGAGTCTGGGGTACATTAACATAGCTTAAGACAACATTTCCATAAGAAAAAAAAATGTATTGGTTAACTCAAGGTTTGAGAGTAGTTAGCTTTAGGTGAGACCAGGTGTCGCGGCAACAGAGCATTTTAAGAGAAACCTCCTTTTAAATTTGTATAGAGAAGGAAAAACATATCGCTGGTTTGTTTCCTCCTGCTGCTTAAGAGAGATAAAAATGTCTGGCACTTGCAGCCTCTTTCCTCCGTTTGGAGACCCCTGGCCTTCCTGCCTGTTACCCTCTCAGAACATCTTATTTTGAGCTCTGTTCCCCAGAAAGTGTTCTGCAGGGCACAGAGAGAGTGCTGAGGACTGCTGGCTGTGAGGTTGAGTGAGTAATACATGGAGAAGTGCAACCAATAACCAAAACACACACACAAGGCAACTCCTTGTAAGTAACCAGTTTTCTAGATGTGTTAAATACTTTAGGAACTGCTCTTTAAGACTCAGACCCACCTAGTGGACTGTAGCCATATTTAATGAATGGTACCCTTGTGACTCTCTGTGATGCTATGGACTGCAGCCCTCCAGGCTCTCCTGGCCATGGTATTTTCCAGGCAAGAATACTAGAATGGATTGCCATTTCCTTCTCCGGGGGTCTTCCGGACCCAGGGATCGAACACAGGTCTCTTACCTCTACTTGCATTGGCAGGCAGATTCTTTACCACTAGTGCCACCTGGGAGGCTCTTGTGACATGAAAGAATGTTAAATTTATGCCCAAATGATATCCAGGGCCTGGAGGAGGGCATGGCAACCTACTCCACTATTCTTGCCTGGAGAATTCCCATGGACAGAGGAACCTGGCAGGCTACAGTCCAGAGAGCAACTTCAGTTAGTCACACGGCAAAAGCTTACTCCTAAGTATTTCCAGTTTCCATGTAGGTTGGGAAAATAGTAACTGTACCTCATGATGCAATCCTATTCTTAAAATCACTATAGGTGATGTTTGGTTACTAGCAGTTAAGTATGTCCATCAGATTTCCCACTGTAAACATAATTCTGTCAATTTGCTCCTGTCTTAAATTTCCCCCAAGGACATCAAATATGAATTACCTATATCTTAGGAACATAACATATTTGTATTTTTATATCTTAAAACTCTCAAATCATAGGACTAGCTGAGCTTCTAAAATGTTTGAGGGATGATTGAATCTGGAGACTGAATTAATAACTGCGATTACATGACTTTTGATTTGTGTCATGGTCCACTCACAGTATCACTGTTAGCTTCATTTCTGTATTTAAAGATTATAACCGGGCAGCAAGTTCATCAAGTGATTTCACTCCATCTGTGTACATCCTCAGGTTTCCTCTCCTGCTCACCTGTCCCAGCCTTCCGTCACTCCTGGACACCCTTTTGTGTTGGATTTGATTGACAGAGGTTGCTGGGAATGTGGGAGTGAGCCACACCATCTGAAGTGGGGCTTTATTCTCTTTCCCTCATTTCTTCTGCTGTCCCAATTCCTGGAAGTTAGAGTAAATGGGAAAAATTAATAGGTACTATGCTGGTTTCTAATTTATAGAAAAAATAGCAAGCAAAAATAAAAACCCAAAATGAGGTAAATAGCACCCTAGGCTTCCTGTGCAGATCCTGAATGTGGATTGAGCTTTTCATTTAAATGATTTGATGGTTTATTTGATCATTTTAGAGAGTCCTGGGCCATTTTTCAGCTCTAGAGGTAGATTGATTTTGGTTTGTTTTATATATATGTGCATGTGTGTGTGTGTGTGTGTGTGTGTGTGTGTATACATATTCTTTTTAAAAATTTTATTTATTTTAATTGGAGGCTAATTATTTTACAATATTGTAGTGGTTTTTACCATACATTGACATGAATCAGCCATGGGTGTACATGTGTTCCCCATCCTGAAACCCCCTCCCACCTCCCTCCCCATCCCATCCCTCAGGGTCATCCCAGTGCACTGGTCCTGAATGCCCTGTCTCATGCAGTGAACCTGGACTGGCGATCTATTTCACATATGGTAATGCACATGTTTCAATGCTATTCTCTCAAATCATCCCACCCTTGCCTTCTCCCACAGAGTCCAAAAGTCTGTTCTTTACATCTGTGTCTCTTTTGCTGTCTCGCGTATAGGGTCATCGTTACCATCTTTCTAAATTCCATATATATGTGTTAATATACTGTATTGGTGTTTTCCCTTCTGACTTACTTTTTTTCTTGCTCAGAGTTATTACTTGGATAATATATTTTTATAGATGCTTACTAGACCTTGATATAATGTGAAAATATGCTAGTTTCCTACATTTTCTTCTTGTTTATATATTTCCTCAGCAACCCATCCCCCGACTCCCAAATTGTCCCACTTTCTCTACCAGCTTCCTAATTCCTCATGACTCAGACTGTGGTGCCAGGGTCAACAGCACCTGCATCTATTGGAGCTTCTTAGAGATGAAGAATCCCATTCTTATCCAGACTTCTTGACTCAGCATCACATTTGAACAAGACCTCCTAGTAAAGTCCTTTCTCTCCCATAGACAGTGTTTGATGACTCATAACCCATGATTTCCATGAAATATTCTTTGACAGCTTGAAATCAAGCTCATGAATCACCTAAACCCCTCTTATGTCTAAGCATGAGACTCTAGAAAGTTCTGTATCACTTACCACCCTACAGATTCATATTTATATTCTGCAAATCATGCCTTTACAGTATAATCTAAGACTGTGTGATTCCACTGCATTTCTTTACATCATTCAGTGAGTCTATCTTCATCACAGGCAGTTTTCACCCTGCTACAGTCT